ATATAATCTAGCTCAAAACAGATAATGTAGATTATCTGCTTTGATAATCTGGATTAGATGGCAGTGTAGACCCAGCCTGGGTGGTATAATTAAATCTGGATTGAACCTATCCTTTCTGGCTGGGTGTGGTTAGGTTCAGCAATAATTGTTACTTTTCCGCTTGAACCATTTTTCTTTGTTTCCTTCAAGTAGTAAACTGCTGTCAAATCTTCCAGCAGTCAGGTATTGTCAAAACAATGCCTGACCCTATAATTAGGAAAAGTAAAATGGTAGCCTCAGGCAACAGATGCAGACAGGCAACAACAAAGTGTTAGAAAAGTGAGCTGTGGGCCATAATTTGACCCGCATTTCTTGAACAGGTCTGAGGGCTTCAAACATGGTGGAGATGGCTGTCCTATTGCCAGTGCTGAAGAAAGTTTCAATTGTCAGTCCAGTTCGCTTTCATTCATGGTGCATGAGGAGAGGCCATATTGTCTTACAGTTCAGATGGCGGAGTACTGTGGACCAAATCTAACTAACCTTTGGCTGGTTAACCATAAGTAGATAAATAGTATGAACACACATTTATCCAAATTATACTGTAAGAAGAAGAGTCCATATCAAATGTAAAAGGAAACCACCTCTTGTGACATATTGGGTTGTTGATGTTTATTCGTTCAGTTGCTTCTGAATCTTTATGACCTCATGGACCAGCCCACGCCAGAGCTCCCTGTTGGCCGTGGCCACCCCTAGCTCCTTCAGAGTCAGGCCAGTCACTTCAAGGTTACCATCCATCCATCTTGCTTTTGGTCGGCCCCTCTTCCTAATTCCTTCCATTTTCCCCAGCATCATTGTTTTCTCTAAGCTTTCCTGTCTTATCATGATGTGTCCAAAATACTTCATCTTTGCCTCTAATATCCTTCCCTCCAATGAGCAGCATGGCTTTAATTCCTGAAGTATGGACTGGTTGGATCTTCTCGCGGTCCAAGGCACTCTCAGAACTTTCCTCCAGCACCACAATTCAAAGACATATTGGGTAGAGACAAAATAATGGGGTACGTCTTTGGAAACGAAGGAAGAAACTGAGTATGTGCAAGAGAAATATTTGAGCAAGGTGGGTTTCTAAAGTCTAGAAAAATACTCTCACAACAGAGCTTGAAAACATTCGTATTTGTGCCAATATATTCAACATTTTGTTTTTTAAAGGAAGCTCATCTTTAATAAAGTACCTAGAGAAATGTACTATTGAGCCCAATAAAACAATTATTGGTGTCTTGGTTTTTAGGCCTGTTCCTGGGGTTATTTGAGGTGCCGATTCAGAAAATTGCATTGGATAGACCACATGAACTCTAATATCTTTGATGTGGTTAACATGATTTCCTACAGGCAAGCAGATGGCAACTGGTAGATGGCATATGTTCTGTATCTCAAAAAGTAGAGCTGGGAGGAGGAAACTGGTGGCATTTTTTGGAATCAGCGGGTCAGATATTCCCAGAAACAGGTCTATCATTTGAGGCACCAAAATGTGTACTGGCCAGTGAACAATGAATTAGTCATCCTTCCACATTTGTTGACTTTGGGGCACAGGACCTCTAAAAATGGAAAAACCATGATTACTAATTCTGTGATTACTACTCAAAATTAGGATCGCTATGATTTAATTATTAATAGAATGTTGTAAAATCATGGTTGGAAGTGTTAACAAGTTGAGGAGCAAACATTCTGTATTTAACAACTAGTTTTCAAGCTCTGTTAATATCCCTCAAGCCTTCCCGATTCCTCCCTTTGTCATAACAAAGGCTTTAGAGAGAAAACACCAGTCATGACAGAAGAATTTTGTGAATTGTTATTCTCCATGAAACGAGGACAAAGCAATGGCTATAAATTAAAAATAAAAAGGCAGCTGGGAAACGGCATCACAAAGGAGTGAGGGAGGTTGTTTTTTTACTTGAGCCAAAGCAGGAGAGTTCCAAAACATGAGGTCACGAGATGTGAAAAGGTAGAGCTTCACATCTTGTTTCAGATTCTGTTCAGACAGGATTTGTGCTTTGAAGCAACAGGATCCTTTATCATCTCCTTGCCACATAGACTATGACTGTAGACATTAAGGTTTGCGTCCCTATTCAGCTGTGAAAAGCCATAGAGTGACCTTGGACAAGTTACATTTTCTCAACCTCAGAAGAAGGAAATGACAAACCTATCCTGAACACATCTTGCCAAGGAAAAGCAATGACAGTCTAACCTTAAGTTCACCAGAAGTTGGAAATTATTTGAAGGCACCTAACAATAAGAAGTTGAGATTTTGATCTCTAGCAGAAGTATAGCCCTCTATCCATTACTTAACGGAAAATGGCCTTTGCTATATTGTGCTATACTCAAAGACCTTGCTATACTTCGATTTGAGTTCTCTTTGCACAACAGTGTTGGCAATCGTTTTTAGCTAGATTTAATATTGTAATATGTCTTTCTAGGCAGGAAGAACATTCCTTGTGATACTACATTCAGTCCCTAGATAGGAGGAAAAGATTTAATATATTTAACAGTTAATCAGAGGAGTTTCAGATGCAATCTGATGTAAAGCAGAGCAAAGGCACTTGCAGACTATATGGAAACCCTGGTGGCTCAATGGGTTAACCTGATGGCACAATGGGTTAAACTCTTATGCTGGCAGGACTGAAGGCTGACAGGTCATAGGTTCAAATCCGGGGAGAGAGTGGATGAGCTCCCTCTGTCAGCTCTAGCTCCCCATGCGAGGTCATGAGAGAAGCCTCCCACAAGGATGGAAAAACATCAAAACATCAGGGCGTCCCCAGCGTAACGACCTTGCAGATGACCAATTCTCTCACACCAGGAGCAACTTGCAGTTTCTCAAGTCACTCCTGACACAAAAAAAACTTGCAGAATGTAGAAGTTCTTGCATTCCAAGTGTTGGATTGCATCGGCTTGAGTGTACATGACAATGGTAAGTAAAGATGAGACTCATAGGCCCCAGCGACATTATATGGTCAGTATAGACTCATATAATGCACTGAACTGCATTGTACGAGAGTAAACTATACTAATACCCTTTCAAACTGATATATAAATGTACATAAATATTTATACTAATGCATAAATATGTGAGTTATAGGGAGGATGGAGCAAAATTGTTTTCTGCTGCCCTGGAGACTAGGATGCGAAACAATGGCTTCAAACCACAGGAAAGGAGATTAGGAAGAACTCTCTAACTGTGAGAGCTGTTCAGTAGTGGAACTCTCTGACTCGGACTGTGGCCGAGGCTCCTTCTTTGGAAGCTTTTAAATGGAGGCTGGATGGCCATCTGTCAGGGGTGATTTGAATGTGATTTTCCTGCTTCTTGGCAGGAGGTTGGACTGGATGGCCCATGAGGTCTCTTCCAACTCTATGGTTCTATGATTCTTTGATTATATGGCAGTGTAGATAGAGCCATATAAGCCCAAAAACTTCTGAAATGCCCCAGGTTCCTCATTCCTCTTATAACTATTATAAAACCAGATTTGTAGTATAGGGAACATCTCTTGAGAGCATGACAGTGGAAGCTCTTTTAGCTGTGGTGGCTTATTAAAACAGAATCGTGGTGGCAATTATTCTATGAGGGTATAGTCATATCTGATTCTTTGGCAGGTTTAGAAAAGATTCAATGCCTAGGACTCCTTTGGGGGAAATGACTTCAATCATGTTGGGGTTAAAGCAGCTTTAGGTTTGTAGTGCAACATAAAAGTTGGTTCAGGCAGATATACTTATCCCTTGGTGAAAGCAGATAGATCGTATAGGCTGCTGTGTATAAATGATCGTGCATCAAACACTAGAGATCAAACTAGCCTAGGGTGTAAAACACAATTGAAGTCAGCTCAGAATTCAGCAGCAAATCATCAAGAAATATGAAATTGTATGGTACAAATTATCTCACAGGGTGCCCAAGTTTCATTGGATTATAACTCCCAGACATGAGATAGAAGCATTTACACATATTTAATCTATGAAACATGATGTGCTGCTTTTCATTGAAAATATCCCAAAGGGATTGTAGCCCAAGCAGTATCTAGAGATGCAGGTACATTGTTGACTCAATGTAGTTTGACACCACTTTGATTGCGATGGCTGAATGCTATGGAATCTTCGCAGTTGCCGTTTTAGATTATCTTTAGCCTGCTTTCCCAAATAGTTCTTGCATCATAACAAACTGCAAATCCATAGCATCCATAGCATGGAGCCATGGCAGTTAAAGTGGTATCAAACTGCATTAATTGTACAGTTCAAACACACCCTAGGGAACTGATAAGTGTGAGCAGTAAGCCTATCCCAACCTTTGGGCCTCAAAGTGTTTTGGACTTTAACACCCAGAAATCCCAGCCAGCTTACCAGCTGTTAGGAACTGTGGGAACTGTGGTAACTGTGGTTAATTTAACTAATTTACGATGGCATAAAAATTTCCAGCAGCGGGCGAAAGAATGAGGAAGCACTCCATCAAGGACTCAGTGTCACAAGTGGACCATGAAGCAACAGCTCCCCCAGTGGCCGGAATTCAAACATACCCTCATGAAGCTTAAATTGCCACTGTGTTTGTCTATATATGTTGTGTGTCTGTGGCATTGAATGTTTGCCATGTATATGTGCACTGTAATCCGCCCTGAGTCCCCTGCAGGTGAAAAGGGCGGAATATAAATACTGTAAATAAATAAATAAATAGTCCAAAACACCTGGAGGACCAAAGTTTGGGAACCACTCTCTGAAGCAATCCACAAGTGTGATGAAACTTTTAGTAATTTAAAGGCTGAGAAAGCATGGAGCACAGAGGTATTAGGTAAGCCCTATGGGAACCCTTGCCCCAAGGTGGATTAGTTCACTAATATGGGGATTTTCCTCCTGGCCCAACAACTCCTGGCCTGCATGGTATGGCCTTCCAACAAAACTGTAAAAACCAAATTACACAAGAATGGGTTTTGTGATTCTTCCTACAGACGAGGAGTTTTCTTTTATAGGAAAGGCTGCTGGAAATCACGTGGAGGAGATAGGTTATTTAATTCTTTCCCTGCTTGCTGTCTATTCACAATCACAGCTTCTTTTACCACTTGTGAAAGACCAAGGCAGACTTGGAAAAAAAATACTTTTTTTGGACTCTGAGCATCCTTAGCTAATGGGTTCCAAAAGCTTTTGTCCATTAAAGTAACTTTTCCAAGTATATGGTAGAGGAACCCTTTATCATTTGAGGGGGGAACAATGGAAGGAAAGGCCTTGATACTACAAGGGTGGGATTAAAACTATTGGGCAGAAGTGCCCATCTGGTGCCATTTTGACCCTAAAAGGCAAAGGTTGCTGTCTCTTTCCTCTCAAATTTTGTCCTCTCCAGCAGGGGGCGCTTCAGTGCTGTTGCTGCTCGAAAATGGTGGCAATTGTCCTGTAAGAGAAAGAGAAGAGTGTCAACTGCCTGAAGTTGTTCATATCATATTGAATTACTAATTTTACATTATGAATGTTATAATGATACACTTGATTTATATTCTGCTTTATCTCTCTGGAGGGACTCAGAGTGGAATGCAGTAGACAAATATAACATTCAGTGCCTTTTACACAGTGAACAACAATACATACAATACATGGACAAAGGTAAAGGCCTTCCCCTTTCATCTCCGGCGTCTGGAGGCAATGCTCAACTCTGGCCATGAGGAGGTGCTGATGTTCCATTTTCCATGCCAAGGAGCCTGTTGTCAATAGACTTCTCCAATTGTGTTTTGCTGGCATGTCTGCATGGGACGCCCTTTTACCTTCCTGCCGGGGCAGTACCTATTGATCTACTTGCATTGCATAATTTCAAACAGCTAGGTTGGCAAAAGCAGTTGGAAGTCCACCCCTGACTTGTGGTTCGAACTGCTAACCCTCCGGTCAGCAGATTTCCTGCAGCTAGCAGTTTAACCCACTATGCTACCGCAGTTTCTTCTGAAAGTCAGCAATTAGAACAGCATTTCTAAACCTAGGGGTTGGGACCCCTGGGGTGGGGGTCGCGAGGAAGTGTCAGAAGGGTCACCAAAGATCATCAGAAAACACAGTATTGTCTGTTGATCATGGGAAAGTGTGTCCCAATTCTATTGATGAGGTTCAGAATGCTCTTTGATTATAGGTGAACTATAAATCCCAGCAATGACAACTTCCAAATGTCAAGGTCTATTTTCCACAGACTCCACCAGTGTTCACATTTTGGGCATATTAAGTATTCATGCCAAGTTTGGTCCACATCCATCATTGTTTGAGTCCACAGTGTTCTCTGGATGTAGGTGAACTACAACTCCAAAACTCATGGTTAATGACCACTAAACCCTTCCACTATTTGCTGATGGTCATGGGAGTATTGTATGCCAAGTATGGTTAAATTCCATTGTTGGTGGAATTCAGAATGCTCTTTGATTGTAGGCGAACTATAAATCCCAGCAATTACAAAGCCCAAATGACAAAATCAAACAGCCCCCAACCCCACCAGTATTCAAATGTGGGCATGTCGGGTATTTGTGCCAAATTTGGTCCAGTGAATGAAAATACATCCTGCATATCAGATATTTACATTACAATTCATAATAGTAGCAAAATTACAGTTATGAAGTAACAACGAAAATAATTTTATGGTTGGGGGGTCAGTACAACATGAGGAACCATATTAAGAGGTCATGGCATTGGGAAGGTTGCGAACTACTGAATTAGAAATTTCAGGAAAGCTTGTCCTGTTATAAGGAAGGCTTTGAAAACCATGCAGTTGTTGAAGACAATTAACCATTCATCTGCGCAAAATTTTCATGAGGTTGTTTTTGTGCAAAAACCAGATTTTTTGCATTGAAAATTGTATTTCAACATACATATTAATCCTGTATAGAAAATGCTGGTTTTGGCACAAAACAACTTTTGCAAATTTTGCACAGAATAAGACCCAGACTGTGAAAATTCTAATCAGTCCAGGACTTTTCCCCCATCACAGTGTCGAAACAGCAAAAACCAGTTTTTGATCATATAAAGTATTTTTGAATATTCTTTCCATTCCTATTTTCTGGTCTAAATCTTATCTTGGATGACATATGCAGCCAAGCAACATCAAAACGTGGATAGATGGCAAAAGGTATTAATAAGGGAAAATACAAAAGCTAGGAAAGGATGCATCTTGCTTTCCCCTGAGTCTGGCAAGAAGGGCTGGTTTCTAGCCTTCTCTCTCCTCTTCCAATTGATGAGTTAATTAAGTAGCAAATTAAGTAAGCTAGAGACAAAGACGAGGCAAGAGAAGCTGGAATATTTTTAAAGCTACTGAAAATATTAAATGATAGATAATTAATTGAGTCCATCTCTGACAACTGGGAGAGTTGAAAGGTATGTTTTTACAATGGTGGACTCAAATGTTTTGCTAATTTCCTGATATTTTTGTAACCATTCATTTATCTGCGGCACACATGGAATTTCCAGTTTCTAAGCATCATCTCCTAAAGCTGGATGTTTTGAGAAATCTTCATATTACTTTCCTTTTACAGAATGAGAAAACTAAGAACAGGGTAATGATATCTTTATCCAACTTTACCTAAAGTGTTTCTGGATAAAATCATGTCAAAACTGGAGGCTCAAGTCCAAAATTCACATTATTTTTGGATCTCTGGTGGAGCTTGATTGTCTTCTCTCCAAAATACAGTACTAGAGATTAGACAGGGGAAGAAGGGAAGCAGTACTTACTGAAATAAGGCTCCTGATAATTCATCTACGATGCTCCCTGTAGAGTAAATAAATAGGACAGATCAGATGTTTATTATTTCTAGGGAATTTGTTCTCTGCTTGCCCTACACTGAAGTCTTCTCACCAAAACAAAGTTTCTGTCACTCCTATGGTCCAATTTTGGTAATTTAATCTCTTTTACAGTTTGGGAAAGGCTGGGGAATTTGGAGAATGAAGTCACAGAATTTTAGAACTGGAAGAAAGCATAAAGGACATCTAGTCCAACCCCTACCATACTGATATACACAAATAGAGCACTCCTGAAAGATGCCCATCCAACCTTTGATTAAAGACCTCCAAAGACTAGGACTCTGTCCCACTCACATCAAAGCAATCTATTCCACTGTCGAACAACTCTCACAGTAAAATAGTCATCGTAAGTTTAGCAAAATTTCATTTTTCTGTAATTTTAATTCATTGGTTCATATTCAACTGTGTGGAGCAGCAGAAAACAAGCTCATTCCATCTTTTATATGACATCTCTTCAGATATTTTTAAAAAGATATTATGTAATGTCTCTGTTTTTTTAAGTTAAACATGTACAATTCCCTAAATCACCCCTTTTTGTGATATAATTTTATTGTGTTATGTGAAAATAGCATACAGTATAACACACACACACACACACACACATTCATTTCCCTCCAAACCCACCCATCCCCTTCCCCACCCATGACTTCCAACACCACTCGATATGGAACTACTAATAAAAGCCTATCCTTATAATTACATTAATAGATTTCCCATGTGGCTATTTCATATCCTATTTTTGTCTTCTTTTTTAAATAGTAATCTTATGTGGGTAGTCAGCCTCTCCCCTCCCGACATCCCCATTGCCTCAGCGCTGTAAGAGGGTTTTGCGAGACCAGTCACTCTCGTTGCCATGTGGTTTTGAGGCAACTGTGTAGTAATGGTGAGGCTGCGGACCATATTTTCATTCTTGCATTCCACTGGTGGTCCACGGACCACAGGCTGGGAACCCCTACTGAAAATTTAAATCCTTTTTCCGTAAGTATTCCAAATTTTCCAAATCTATTTTTTCCCTAATCTCTGACCCTACGATCACCATGGTTTAATTTTATTATCTTTCAGATTATACCCTAGAATGTATTTGTATAATTTGGAAATCAGTCTTTTATTTTCTGTCTCCAAAATATTCTCCCACTGATTTCTTTTTGGAGAACCCAATTTTATTGCCTTTCCTAAATATATCCTATAATTACCCATATGGCCTGGTTTTCCAGACCTTTGATCATCCTACCACTTCATCACATTTACTAAATTCCACTGAGTCCTACACTTAAAAACTGGTAACCCACTGTGTTCATCACATTAGGTTGGGTTCAAGTGTAGGTTAAAGGATTATTTCCGTATTTTAAGCATGAGGGCCAGTAGTATTATTTTCAAACGTTTCAGGAGGTGGTGGAGAAGGGAATTTTTGGGGAATGATCCAGATGAAAGGCCAATTCAGTAATGTGATAGCCTTTGTTGCTCTCAGGATTATAATGAGACATTCCCCCAATTTGTGGGAGGGGAAAATGTGGGAGGAGCCAAGATACCCTTGTTAGGGAAAGTTAGGGAAAGATTATTATTATTATTATTATTATTATTATTATTATTATTATTAGTCACCCCTTTCAGGATACATTCCAGCTCATCATTATCCTTCTTGAATTGTGGTGCCAAGAAGTGGAAATACCAAGCACTGAAGATTATCTCCCTCATTTAATAAATACAGAATTGCTTTCGTTGGGATTTTTCTCCTATCTTCTCAAAATTCACGTTAGGGAACTAATGTATATTTTCCAGCATTTCTGAAAACTAGGACATGTGGCCAAGCAACACCAGAGTGTGATGAGGATGGCAAAAGAGGCTGTAGCAGTTTGTTTTTGCCTGAATCTACAGGGAACATCAAAATCTGACCTCCTTCTCTCTTCTTCCCTCTGCTGAACCTAATTGAATGAAAACTTTTTTTTTGCACCTGTGAACTCAGATTTCCTTCTCCTAGCAGCGAAGGCCTAGTCAATTAATCCTTAGTCCCCTAAACCAAGGGTGGGCAACTGTGACTCTAGTCAGAATAGCGATATACATGGGATGCTGGGAATATAGTCCAATAAATATCTGAAAGCCATCTGCCTCAAACCACAAAGGGGAGTGATCTACTCACCTGGTGTACAGGCTGTCTCACAAACAGGGCAAATGTAACAGAAATGACAGTACTGCAAGAAGAGAAACAAAGCAATAGGGTCTAAAGTGAATTACTGTCAAGACACTGCTCTGGTTAATAAGATTTAAAAAACCAGACTATCAAGTTTTTTTTATGGGAAGGGAAGGAAACTTGCAAGACCAACCTGACAGCTTGCACAGTGTTCACTGGTATCTCCTTCTTTACAGGGACATTTGTCACACTCATCACAATGCTGAAAAGAAAAGGAGAAATGGGAAAATGACAATATCCTGGCAGTGACGAACGTTCATGTCTTTATATGACTTCATATTGCTCTCAACTTACAGCAACCACATGAATTCCATAGCGTTTTCTTAGGCAAAGAATACATAGAGGTGTTTGCCAATTCCTTCCTCTGAAATATATTCTACAGCACTTACTATTCGTTGGAGTTCTCCCTTCCAAGTACTAACCAGAGCTGAGTCTACTCACTTGTTATAGATCAAACAGGATATGGTACCTTAGGGAAGTTAGGCATTAGTGAGGAATAGATGATTTTTTTTCATCCAAATGCATCCAAAATCATACTGAACTACAACATCCAAAGCCTTCTTAAATTGAGTCTGGTCATTGATCCATGCAGATCAACCCAGGCTTCTTCAACCTGCTGTCTCCAGATGTATTGAACTAGAACTCATCATTTCCAGGCAGCAAGATCATTCATCATGAAGTTATGGTCCATAACATTTGGAAGATACCAAGTTGGGGAAGGCTTAGTCTATACTAACTAGTTGTGACTTCCTGGTAGGCTTATGTGTGGATTTCATTTCTTCCGTTTCCCCTTTTCCTTCAGTACCTTTGGTACTTTGGGAGCTCATAACGATAAAGGCCTTCCCAGTATGAAAACCTGCCTGCAACGAAAGCAAGTGGGAGCCAAACTTGGCTCTTCCTCCCCTATTCAGCATCACAGCTGATTTTTTTTTAATTTTCCTTTATTTTCCTGGTTGTTTTTATTTAGTGGGACTGGCTGGGAGTTGAGGAGGTGGGTGGGGTGCGCACACGCATTTAAGGGCTTTCACCCTTTTAGCTTCTTTTTCTCCTTCCCTTCCTCTCCTTCAGAAAATACTTCTAAAAGATAATCATCATCATTATTAATAGTAATCCCCCGAAACAAAATAAGAAGCCTACCTCTCCTCTAGAGTAGAAAGTAGAAACAGTTTTAAGGAAGAAAAACTCTAAGCAGAAAGGAGATTGCAGCCTTGCAGGCAAGTGAGGGGATTTTTAAGGTAGTCTAGGGAGGAGAGCGCCAGGTCATCGCTCTTCAATCCTCCTTAAAATACCTTGAAGCTTCATGTGGTGTGCTGCAGCTGGCCCTGGGAGAGAAGAAAGCATGAACACCTGTCTCTCCCCTTGAGTAGAACAGCTTTGAGAAGCAGTAAACCTGGTCTCTCCTTCTCTACAAACAGAAGGGAAAGGATCCAGAAACTTAACTCTGATGCTTTTTAAAATCCAGGTCTTAATGAAGGATATGGAAGGGGAGCCTATGGGAAATAATGGGTTGGATAGGGTAATTCCTTAACCCCATTGCTGACACCCAGACTCCCTTGAAGGAGAAAGGGGAGCCTCATAAGTTCCCCATTGCTGCTAATAAGCTGAAAAAAACCAGCTTTTTTAAAAAAAATGCGGAACGAAAATGCCAATTTGGAGTTTTGGGAGGAGCTGGAAAACAGATATGGGGAGTTTCCAGTATCTAGCAAGCACAAATAGGAAATGCACAAGCCTACTCCTTGGTATTTCTGACAGAAGACCATCACTTCCCAATGGTGATGCAAAGGATTATGATTTAAGCACATACTTGCTATTGAATTGTGGACTTTCTCAGATACAATGTGGTCCCTGGACAGACAACACTGGAACCATTCTTTTCTCCACCATCTTTTAAACATTTGGAAACTATTCAGAATCCCCATAAACATTTGTAGTGTAACTCATCCTGTTCTCCATGCCTTTCAAAATTCTGTATTGCCAGATCGGAAATTGAAAAACAAAGTGGCCATTGTTCTCCGGTCCATTTCTATTGCCTTTCATTTGTTCTGATTTTTCTATACTGGCTGCAGAATAAAATAGGGTGGCTTCAGCTTTCCAAATATTATTGGCAGGCAATGGGAAATAGGCTTAGACAGGCTAGCAATTATTGGGGAATTAAGGGAAACAAAAACGATAAACATATACAAGTTGCCCTCCTGTGCCGTAACGTGGAAGATTCCCAGAAACTGGAATTTTCTTGGGAAGGAGGCTGTCTTTCTCCAACAGGAACATTCTCCAAGATGCTGTAGGTCCCCAGATGGGTTGGACTACAAATACCACCGTTCTTGATTATATGGACTTGCTGAAGTTTGTGAAACTTAAAATTCAACAACATCAGAGGATCCAAGATTAGCTATTACTCCTTCCGACTCCACCCGGAAAAAGTGAAAACAATTGCTACCAAATAACTGGACTATATAATTATATGATAATTATCGGCATCCGAGAAGTTGCAAACACTCTTTCAGCCATTAAGAGAACAGGTTCAAGAGGAATCTCTAGCCTGCAATGTGGCAACTCTTACTGCAGAAAAGGGTGCAGCTGCCATGGTTTACCCACCACTTTACCACCAGCCTTGTCTTCCAGATGCAACACGGTGTGTGGTCAAGTTGGCAAACATTATTCAAAAGGATGGACAGATAAGCTTGAGCAGATGCAACAAATTCTTTTTGTCCAAGCTACAGGGAAAGGATAAACTCCCTTTTTTCCTTCCTTCCTCACATTGAGAATTAATACAAGCTTTTTTGGCATTCATAACTCAGTTTGCAGTTATTTAAGTAAATAAAGGATCAAGAGGGAAAGGGAGATAAGGAAAAGGAAATGAGAACATGTTAAAAGCAGTGGGAAATGTGGGATGGTAGGGGAATATTTGGAACACGACCTGGCAAATTGGGACAGATGGAGGGTATGTTGTCTGTATCCCATTAATCAGGGAAGTATAATTTTTGAGGATGTGGAAAAGGATTTTTCTCCTGTGGAACTCCAGTAATGGGATAGAGAAGAGATCTCACAATGTTTTTTACATTCATTTAAGAACAACACTATGGCATTCGGATGAGATTGCATGTGTTTCCCAGTGAGAAAGTGTAATCTCATCATAATCACTTGTTTGGATTAGTTATCCCAGAATCTATTGTCGAAGGCTTTCATGGCCAGAATCACTGGATTGTTGTAGGTTTTTGGGCTGTATGGCCATATTCTAGAAGCATTATCTCCTGACATTTCAGCTGCATCTATGGCAGGCACCCTCACAACCTCTGAGGATACCTGCCATAGATGCAGGCAAAACATCAGGAAAGAATGCTTCTAGAACAGTGGTTCTCAACCTGTGGGTCCCCAGATGTTTTGGCCTTCAACTCCCAGAAATCCTAACAGCTGGTAAACTGGCTGGTATTTCTGGATGTTGTAGGCCAAAACACCTGGGGAGCCACAGGTTGAGAACCACTGTTCTAGAACATTGCCATGCAGCCCAAAAAACCTACAACATATCCCAGAATCCTTCAACTAAGTGGCTATTAGCCATAGCGGTTGAGAGATTCTAAAAGTTATAGTCTGGAAAAGGAACTTTTCCAGGCTCTACTTAGCTAGCACAGTTGATCCAATCCAATAAATTTCTATCTATGCTGTTTTTATATAAACACCGAACCATTGGGATATCTGATCATAGATATCTCCCACTGGTATTTTGACCATGACAGATTATATAAACTGGGATGGAAAGGAAAGTGACATAATGGTGAAGAGGAACACAGGGGAGATTTGAAGTTAGAGAGCCCCAAGAACAGCAGTAATTTGGCCAGAATAAAGCAGGATCTCATCAAGGACATATTGAAGCCTGTGGTGGTGCAATGCGTTAAACCCTTGTGCCAGCAGGACTGAAGACCGACAGGTCGGAGGTTTAAATCCGGGGAGTGCACAGATGAGTTCCCTCTGTCAGCTCCAGCTACCCATGCGGGGACATGAGAGAAGCCTCCCACAAGGATGGTAAAACATCAAAAACATCTGGACATCCCCTGGGCAACGTCCTTGCAGACAGCCAATTCTCTCACACCAGAAGCACTTTTCATTTTCTCAAGTTGCTCTTGACACAATAATAATAATAATAATAATAATAATAATAATAATAAGGACATAACCACAAATGAAGACAGAATGAGAGAGACAGACGGAGAGGCTAACACTTTATGCTTCATAACCCATATAAAAGGAGCCAGGTGAAAGATATAGATACAACATTTTCAGATACAACAGCATAGCTATTGTAAAACATGCAGGAAAAGACCCAGTACTGAGTAGGTATGCATGCATTTGCACATTTGTTCCTTCATTACCTTGCAGAAGGCACAGTAGTGGCAAACAGACCCTGCCTCATACTCCTCATCGTCGTCGTCATCGTCATCGTCGTCGTCATCGTCATCATCATCTTCAATAGAAGAGAAACACACAGACACAGTGATCCAGTTATATCTTGGTGGAAAAGGAAGATCAAAAGGCCCACTGGGTTCCCAGTGGGCACTGGGACATAGTAGGGTTGGTGCTTGAGAAGAAGGTACTGGGATTCCTGAGTTTTCCAAAAACACTAAGGAAAAGCACAGTTTCGATGCCTGTATCCATGGAGGATACATTCTCAGGATCCACAAAACCATGGATAATGATGAACCTTATTGAAATGAAGGATTTTGACCCAGGAATACCCACTAGAGCAGGCATCGGCAAACTTTCTAACTTGGGGGTTGCATGGTGAGCTGCAGCAGAATGAGTGGACCAGAAGTAAGGGGGTTCTCCCCAAGTCCCCCCGCCCTTTCCTCCTCTTCCTCTTCTCTTTCGGAGGCAGAAAGTGAAGGAAAGATGGGAAACGTTTGGATCCTAAAAGGGTTGGCCTTGGTCAGGATGACCCTCCAGAGAAGGAGATTCCATCACACTCTGAGGCAGCTTATGCCACTCTCCAATAGTTCTTACTTTCAGGAAGTTCTTCCTAATCTTTTCAGTCAAATCTCTTTCCCTGCTCTTTGAAACCATTGCTCCCTTGTGCCCTGATCTCTGGAGCAGCAGAAAGTCAGTTATTCCCCTCTTCCTCCTAAATGGGACATCTTGAAACATGGTTCTCATGTTCCCGCTCTACCTTCTCTTCTCCCAGCTAAACATCCCCCAGGAGGAAAGGAGGAAGAAAAAAGAGAACAGAGGGAGGGAGGAAAGAAAGAAGGAAGGAAAGTCAAGGAAGGAAGGAAGGAAGGAAGGAAGGAAGGAAGGAAGGAAGGAAGGAAGGAAGGAAGGAAGGAAGGAAAGACAAGAAGGAAGGAAGGAAAAAAGGAAGGAAAGAAGGAAGGAAAGAAGGAAGGGAGGAGAAAGAGAGAGAGGGAAGGAGGGAGGGAAGAGGGAAGGAAGATAGGATGAAAGTATGGGAGGGAAAGAGGGAAAGAGGGGGGAGAAAGAGGGAGGTAAGGAAGAGAGGTAAGGAGGAAGGAAAGATATAAGGAAGGAAGGATAGTATGGTATGAGAGGAGGGCCTTAGAAAAGAGCCCAAGGGGCCGCATCTAACCTCTGGGCCTGGGTTTGCCCAAACCTGCTCTAGAGTCACAATGGAGAATGTAGAAAATGCATAGAGTAGATATTTTTTGTTGGACCTGAATAAATGAAACCACAAATACTGGTCCCAGACATATGGGTATTGCATGTAGTTGATTTGGAGGGAATCAAGGGCTCACCCAAACTGAAGGAAAATGGAAACTGCATTTTAGATGCAGGATTCTTTAATTATGGGAAACTGAAGCTACTGGAAATTGTCGTTTATGCCCCTCCCTCCAGAAACATCCAATTGGAAAGAGCACTGGAGGGTGGAATGGAAAGTTTGGTTTCTGACTTGACTTGGCTCGTAAGTTCTACTAACAAAAACAAACATGGACCCCATCCCCCATCCGAACCACTTAATTTTTCTCACCTTCTCCTTCATGATGTTTCTTGGCCTTTTCATGTTTGTGATGCTTTTCTTTGTGTCCTTTATGTGCATTTTCTTTCTTAGAAGCATTTTCATCAGACTCTTCTTCATTATCACCAGGGTGATGGTGGTGGTGGTGATGGTGGTGGTGGCGCTCTTTGTCATCATCGTCGTCATCGTCGTCATCGTCGTCATCGTCGTCATCGTCATCGTCCTCTTCTTTATTGTGATGATGATGGCCCCCATGGTGATGATGGCCATGATGTTCATCATCGTCGTCATCATCATCGTCGTCGTCATCGTCATCGTGGTGATGCCGGTGATGCCGGCTATGCTCTTCTTTGTTACTGTCATCATTGTCGTCGTCATCATCATCATCATCATCATCATCATCTTCATCTTCATGGTGGTGATCACCATGATGATGATGGTGGTGATGATTGCTATGATGCTTATGGTGGTGGTGGTCATCCTCATCGTCGTCATCGTCGTCATCGTCATCATCATCATCATCATCATCATCATCATCATCATCGTCATGATGGTGGTGGTGCTTGCCATGATGTTCATGATGGTGGTGATGATGTTCATCTTCATTGTCATCGTCATCATCGTCATCATCATCATCATCATCATCATGGTGCTGATGATGATGTTCACCATGATGCTCATGATGGTGGTGGTGATGTCCTTCTTCGTCTTCATCATCATCATCATCATCATCCCCATCATCATGATGGTGATGGCTGCTATGATGTTCATGATGATGATGATGATGATGTGCACCATGGCCAGTGTCATCGCCATCATCGCCATGATGATCACTGTGGTGATGATGGTGCTCCTGTTTATCATCTTTGTGGGAATGATGGCTTTCTTGGTGATGCCCGGCTTCATGATGATGATCGTCGTCATCATCATCATCATCATCATCACCATCACTGTGCTGATTGCGATGCCCATGGTAGTCATGTTCCTTGTGAAGATGGTGTTCATCTTCATGGCTTTGGTGCTCTGCTTTGCCATAGTCATGATGGTGGTGTTCCTGTCCCTCTACTTTAGGGAGCTGGAACGAACAGAGGAGGGCCAAAAGAAGGGCCAGCATCCAGACCTTCCGGGAAGCCATACTTGCAGCTTCCACCCAGATGTTTTGTAGAGGTCCCAGTAGAGGCAACTCGGAAATGCACAAAAGAAGGAAGTCCCAACAGAGGTAACTATGAAAGGCAGACAAGGAGAACTAAGGGGATAGAGACACACAGTTCCCAGCTTGGGTTTTCTGTGAGCGACGGCTACAGCTGGCCTAGATTATCTTTTCAGACCACAGCCAATGACTGTCTGACCCAGCCTCCGAGACAGATGAGAAAACCAAGCCATGGGCCCTACCATGCCCTTATATGAGGTGACCGGGATAGAGGGGGGTGGGGAAGAAGGGAGAAGGAGCTAAGCTGTTTGCCACACTGCCATGCTATTATTAGCTCTTAGGAGCAACTGCATTTCACTCACTCTCAGCATTGGGGATGTCAGCAAGGCTTCAGAGGAGGGAGAAACCTGAGCCAGGACCCCTAGGTTTTCTAGGAGGCTGTCCGATTTAGCTTGTTTGCAAAAGTAGAAACTCAGAATCCAAGTTGTATCTGGAGGTTAGACAAAGTAGCCCAAGCTTCTTGAACTGAGTAATATGCAGTGACTGTAGAATTCATGTGTGATATACTGTTAAGTCATGCAGAAAACAGGTTTTGTAGAAAGAAGGGTAAAGATAATACAAATTGCCTATTAAACCCAAAACAAAATGATCATCTGTTAGTTGTAATTGCTTTGTTTTGTTTATTAGCTTACTCTAAATACTAGGAAGCCATGCATGCACTGAAATAAAGAATGATAGTTAACTTACTGAGATCTATTTTTATGTTTCACAAAAAAGCAAAACATTTGTCGTAAATGAAGAAGTGACTGCGTCCTTTGATGAAAAATACAACCTCTGTGGGTTCATGGATTAAATAAAAAGAAGCAAAATGGGTGCTTAAGAAAAGCATTGGGAGAGCTGGGGTAGTCTCCAGCAAAGGATCAGTGGCACTTATTTCGCATGCCAGTAGGTAATGCTCAAGATCCTGCAAGGTAGACTCCAGCAATACATGGAGTGAGAGTTGCTAGATATACAAGCTGGGCTTAGAAAAGACAAAGGAACGAGAGACCAAATTCTTTCTCCAATATCTGCTAGATAATGGAGAAAGGCAGGGAGTTTCAGAAAAACATCTATTCCTGTTTTATTGACTGTTCTAAAGCCTTTGATTGTGTGAATCATAATAAATTGTAGCAAGTTCTTGGTGGTATGGGCATACCAAATCACCTTGTCTCTTTCCTGAGGAATATGTATAACGACCAAGTAGCAACAGTAAGAACAGACTGTGGAACAACAGACTGGTTCAAGATTGGGAAAGGCATATGGCAGGGTTGTATACTCTCACCCAACCTATTCAACTTGTATGCAGAACACATCATGCAATGTGCTGGGCTTGACGAATCTAAGGCTGGAGTTAAAATTGCTGGAAGAAACATTAATAACCTTAGATATGTGGATGATACCACTTTGATGGCTGAAAGCGAGGAGGAGTTGAGGACCCTTCCAACCAAGGTGAAAGAAGAAAGTGCAAAAGCTGGGTTGCAGTTAAACATAAAAAAACAAGATTATCGCAACAAGACTGATTGATAGCTGGCAAATAGAGGGAGGAAACATGGAGGCAGTGATAGACTTTGTATTTCTGGGTTCAAAGATCACTGCAGATGCAGACTGCCGCCAGGAAATCAGAAGACGCTTACTTCCTGGGAGGAGAGCAATGACCAATCTTGATAAAATAGTGAAGAGTAGAGACATCACACTGGCAACCAAGATCCGCATAGTTAAAGCAATAGTATTCCCTGTAGTAACCTATGGATGTGAGAGCTGGACCATAGGGAAGGCTGAGCGAAGGAAGATAGATGCTTTTGAACAGCAGTGCTGGAAAAAAATTCTGAGAGTGCCTTGGACTGTGAGAAGATCAAATCAGTCCATACTTCAGGAAACAATTCCCGACTTCTCACTGGAGGGAAGAATATTAGAGGCAAAGATGAAGTACTTTGGCCACATCATGAGAAGACAGGAAAGCTTAGAGAAGACAATGATGCTGGGGAAAATGGAAGGAAAAAGAAAGAGGGGCCAACCAAGGACAAGATGGATGGACTGGCTTGACTCTGAAGGAGCTGGGAGTGGCTACGGCCAACAGGGAGCTCTGGCGTGGGCTGGTCCATGAGGTCACAAAGATTTGGAAGCAACTGAACAAATAAACAACAACAACAACAAGCTATGGTAGTATAGCAATATCTGGATTCAAGTCAGAACTGTGCCATGTGAAGATATTGAGCATTGCTCAGCATGACCTATCTCAAAGGGCTGTTGTGAAAACAAAATGGGGAAAAGGAGCACAATCCCACTTCCTTGAGCTCCTCGAAGCTAAGATAGGTCTGATAATATCATGGTATTTAGATATATTAAGAAGCACAAAAGTTTTCAGAGAAACAAAGCAGTCAAAAGCTAAGGTGATGCGCAAGAGTATTTCAAAAAAGAAGGTGTGTAAGCTGAAAGGAGCACAATTTAAAACAGTGTCAGGAATGTGCTGATGGATCCCAGTAGCTGAAACCGAATCCATGGAGTTGATCGAGATCTATAAATACTTATGCAGTAGAAGCCTGAATGTTTCCTGCTGGCGTCCTGTTTTTTTCTACATAGCAGTGCAAAGCTTGAGCTTGGGCATTTTAGTTACTTGCACTACAAGTCCCAGACTTCCTCACCAGGGCCTATTTGTGAATGTTGTGCACTGGAGCACTGTGAAAAACACTAATTTAGAAAAGAATGATAAGAAAATAGTAAAATCAATAATTTAATCTATTCAAAATAATTCATTGAAAACCAGGTTCCTTAGTGTAGACATCGCTATGCAACGGACCAAAAGCAAATATACGTATATAAGCATAAGAATGTCACAGTCCTTCATCAGACATGATGTTCAAAAAAGGTGGAATGGGAAAGCATATGAGAGAGAAACTTTGTCATGCTTGTTACAAAATATAATGGCAGAAAGCAGGTCCTCAAACACCCACATCACCAAGTATTATGTTTCAGTTTCACCAGAATAAATCCTGAGCAGGAATCCCTGGATCTAGTTTAATTTTTTGAGTGGACAGGCAGCTTTTTTCCCCCTAATTCACAAGCATTTGCAGAGAGAGGGAAATTTATTATTTATTTGTTATCTTTCAAACATCCTTAAATATTAAGGCTCTTGTGGGAACAGTGCATACTTATAGTAGTGCCCTTCATATTTTCAGTATGCATAGCGTTTGGGAATGCTACCCTAAAACATAGCAGAGAATCCGAAAATCAAACAGGATACAAAAGTTGAGTATCAGCTCATGAGCAAGCAAAGCATGAAGTGTCATTAGTTGTGGCTGTAAAAAAATCAGAGCTTAGGCAGGAAAGATGCAGAGTCCAATTTTTAAAAATCACAAAATGTTTATTTACAATAATAAATAATAAAAACTAATTACATTTCTTCATGGTAAAGAACTGTGTTCGAGCTACTCTATCACCCATCTTTTCAAAAGTCTCAAGAGAGGGAAAAATAATCCAAGCACTACATCTCTCTGACACACACGCAGAGAGAGAAATCTCAAAGCACACAGCACATACTCTCCATACTAGAAGGCAGAATGCAGATTCAAAGAGACTTATAACAGAAAAGTATTCATTTTAAACAATCAATCAGAATGAGAGCTAAAACAGAGTGAGAGAAAAAAATAGATACATTCCCAACTGTCATTCAGGATACACGGGAGAAGGGAAACCCTAAGCCAACTAAACTGTTCCTCATTGAGGACTTGAGACCTGGACTGTGTGGGGTTGAATTCCAACACATAGGACCCCATCAGACACAAGTCCTCCCCCATTTCCACACACTTCTAAGACATTTCAGGGACAAAGTGCCACAGAGTCCTTCACATGATGGAAAACTACTTCTGGTTGTCATCAGCTGCATTTCATCCCTGAAATGTAATACAAGTGTAGAGAAATGGGTGTGGGGTGGACAGGAGATGGGGAGAAATCATCTTCTGAGCTCCTGATGCAACTGGAAATGGGAGAAAGCAGGGGACAGAACGTGGTATGAGATCTGTCAGGTTTGGAGCAATGGTCATTCCTTTGGACCGTCTTCTAATGATGATCCAGTTCTTGTCCCAAGTCCTTTCTTATGATCCTGGATCTCTCTCTTTTTTAAAAAAAATACTAGGGGAAATTGCACGATTGAAAGATATACCTACTGTGATATAACTGTATTTTTTCCCTCAGTATTATGCTGTGTGGGACGGCGAAGACAAACAGGGTGATGAGGAGAGTAACTTTGGCTGAGCACTATATATATATTTGTGTGAGGCTTGAGATAGACTTTTATGAGATTTGCTTGAGAGATGTTTGAGAGAGACTTGTATGAGAGAGGTTTGACTTTTTAAAATGCTTTTTGTATGTGACACTTTAATATGTGTAACCCAATAACCAAATACCATAAACTGAATCCTGTTCCAATTGATCTTCAGCCATCTTCCTTGAAATAAATCTTTACTCCAATAATGTGACACAAGTCTTTGTTGTAAGAAATTGAACAAAGAAATATTTATTTAAGTATTCTCAGGCACACAAAGCATATTGGTTACACAATATTTTCTTCACAGTACTTCTTAGATACTGTTACAGATAACTTTTATTATCATGAATACTTGAAACAGTTACCACATAAATTCCAGAATGGCTTATTTTTTTGCCAGCCTGGTTTAGTAACTTCCTTCACTTTGAAATGGTATTCTTTCTCAGTCTCCTGACTGCGTAATTTTGATCTTGTAGTTTCTTCACCTTAGCAATAGGGTAACTGTGAATTTATTTCTCAAAGACCACTTTTCCCCTCAGTCCCACTGACTGACACTTAGGCACAGTTTCTCCCTTTATTTACTTCAGCTCTGCCACTCAAGACACAATATATACTGGGAATTCCTTTCCCCTAGCTCACAAGCTAGTTTCTAATTCAGAACTGGTACATTTCACACTCTAAATATCAAGGCTGAAGATCTAAACTCCTTGGTCCAGCTCTAACACAGACAGAACCAACCTTCCTTTAGCTCACCCGGCTAAAGACTGGCTAACATTTTAAAATGTCCACTCTTCTGATGGCAGTTAGCTCCGCCCCTTTTTCTCTCTAGTTCTGGATACATTTCTACTGCAGGCTTTGTTACTATGGCAACGCATCAACC